ACATTTATTATAAATATGTTTTTTTCAACCAACTATTTATAAAAATATAAGAAACTGTAAAATCTTACTATTTACAATATCAGAAGTTTTTCAAACAACTACTCATTATAAATGTAAAGGCAGGGTCTTTGTCCGTCTTCCAAGACAGTAGGGCTGGCTGCTGTGCAGGTGGGGGTGATGGTGCAGGGCTGCTGGTGGCTGTGTTTTCAAGCTTCGACGGAAGCGTCAGCCAATCAAATCATATGCCAGTACAAGCTCTGGCCAATCAAACCGCATGCTTGTGTGTCCGGGGCGGGAGATTAATGTGATTGGTTGTTGGTCGCGCTCCAGACACGCCCACCAGCAAGCTTCAATGCACGCTGCCGTGTGGACGTACCGTTACTTTGAAACCTTGAAATGCGTAAATGTCGTCATCAGCAGGCCACGTGGTTTCCGAAAATAACCGAGTGACACGAGCAGATTTCGGTCGAGACCGGCGGAAAGTTTTGAGATCCACGAGCAGAGATTTGAGATCCACGAGCAGAGATTTGAGATCCACGAGCAGAGATTTGAGATCCACGAGCAGAGATTTGAGATCCACGAGCAGAGATTTGAGATCCACGAGCAGAGATCTGAGATCCACGAGCAGAGATTTGAGATCCACGAGCAGAGATTTGAGATCCACGAGCAGAGATTTGAGATCCACGAGCAGAGATCTGAGATCCACGAGCAGAGATTTGATATCCACGAGCAGAGATCTGAGATCCACAAGCAGAGATCTGAGATCCACGAGCAGAGATCTGAGATCCACGAGCAGAGATCTGAGATCCACGAGCAGAGATCTGAGATCCACGAGCAGAGATTTGAGATCCACAAGCAGAGATTTGAGATCCACGAGCAGAGATTTGAGATCCACGAGCAGAGATTTGAGATCCACAAGCAGAGATTTGAGATCCACGAGCAGAGATCTGAGATCCACGAGCAGAGATCTGAGATCCACGAGCAGAGATCTGAGATCCACGAGCAGAGATTTGAGATCCACGAGCAGAGATTTGAGATCCACGAGCAGAGATTTGAGATCCACGAGCAGAGATTTGAGATCCACGAGCAGAGATCTGAGATCCACGAGCAGAGATCTGAGATCCACGAGCAGAGATCTGAGATCCACAAGCAGAGATCTGAGATCCACAAGCGCATTTTTGATCGACAAATACAAAATGGATTCACAAATGCCTGATCCAAAGTTGTCAATGTTAAAGGGATATTCACAAATTCCTTTTGTTTATTTGTAAATGAATTATAGTATTCACAGATCTTTTTTTATTTGCAGATCCGTTTTACATTTGCAAATGTATTTGTGAGTTTGCAAATCTTTTAAATGCATTTGTGGATGGTGTTTTACATTTACAAATCACATATTTACACACAAATGATGTTTGTGTTCACGCACATCTAAGCCCATAGGAGAGAGGCTCTGCTGTCCAAGTGTTCAGGAGCCATCGATGAGGAGGAGGGCGACTCTGAGGATTATATAAGTGACCACGTGACCACAACCTCCGCTTTTATTGATTACCCTTAATAAGGCATTGTTTTCCATTTAGACCTGCATAATTAACTGTTAAGTTAATGTTAATAAATGCAAAATTAAGTATGTAGATAATGAAGCAACAAACAAAGATTATTAAAGGTTATCAACAATACCATAATACACTGAAAAAACTGAACCATTGACTTTATTTAAGTGTATTATGCCAACAGATTCTACATAACTGTATTAGGTTAGTTGAAAGCAATAATATTTAGTTGAAATAAAACATATTAGGTTCAACTTAAAGTCAACGTTTCAGTTATTCATTGTAGGGAAATAGTTGAATATATTGAGATGAGTTTTAAACAACTAATACCTTTATTTTTTTTACTTTGTTAACTTTCCATCAAAATGATTTTAATCATACAATGAACGTGTTTTGCTATTATATAATGCATATTATAAGGGCCTTATTGCCTTATTAATGTGCTTTTTCCAAAAAGGGGTTAACGTGAGGAATATAACAACTAAGAGTAGCATTACCAACTGCTGGTGGTGAAGCTTCTCAGTCAGGGCGGTGTTCTCTCCTCCTGCTGGCCCTGGATACACACCCCACACACACATCTACACACTAACGCCACACTTTATGTAAACAAGATTACTGCAGTTACTTTATAGATGGCTAACTTTAGTGCAATATATGTGAAACAGAACACAGGGAACATGATGCTTTGAGGGGTAGGCTGGCTCGGAGCACATATTGGCATAATGTACATGTAGTATAAGCACTTAGGAAATAGCGTTGTCATTAGAGCAATACATACAATAAAACATACAATTGTTTAATTTTAAACAACAGGTGAAGTAAGGCTGGACTGCACCAAATGTGATTGGCTGATAGAAAGAGGCCCCAGCTCTTTCTCCCAGCCTGCCTCCCTGCTGATAAAATCCTGTTTGCCCCAAATTAAAATAATTACTTCAATGCAACAAATACTTTACTTCTGGTGTTTAATGGTGAATAAGCAGCAATGCAGACTGGCTACAACATATCCAGATAAGTAAAAATAAAGTATATTGACTTTTATTTGCTCGTATTGAATGTAACACCTGACAACAGGCTGGAGTGTGCCATCAGTGACAATCAGAGATGAACCTGAGACAGCTGTTTGAACACATCAGTGTTAGTTATACAGCCATCCTATTTGTGTACTGAATGACTACAATTGTTTTAAGGAATTAAAAAAACAAGTGGTTTAAGTAGAAACCAAATTATTACAGGTAGGAAAAAAAAGCCATCAACAAACAGTCGTCATTATATTACATTAAATAGCATTTAGCTGACGCTTTTATCCAAAGCAACTTACAATAAGTGCAATAAACCATAAAGATTCAAACTAAGGACAACAAGAACAGTGCCAGTGGCGGCTGGTGCATTTTTCTCCAGGGGGGGCTCTACCAAAATTGTTGGCGGTGTCAACAGCTGCTTTGGGCGCAGTTTGGTGCGCCCTGAGCTGCTCCTATCTGTTGCATTGAAGAGGCGCGGACTGCACATGCACCACTTATAACGAGAGTCGATGGGCAAAGATTTCTGCGCCCCAAGCAGGAAACACGTGACTTATCAGTAACTTTAGACATCGTAAAAACAATGTTATCGATATTTTATCGTAGATTATACATTTAACTGACACCAACTATATAATATGTATCTTGTTCATTAAAAAGAAAATGCTTAAAAATAAAAAAATGTTTAATGACAATCTAGAATGTGGGAAGAGGTGGGGCGGCGCCCCTAGCGTCCCTAGCATCCCTATGGGCCGGCCACCACTGAATAGTGCTGATATATTTACTACAAACAAGCAATATCATTGTAAGTGCTGCTGCATAAGTAAAACTCTGAAGTGCTTATTATTATTCGCCAAGATATAAGCGAAACAGGTGGGTCTTCAGTTAGCTACTGAAGATACTGTATGTAGACTCTCTGCTGTCCTGATATCAGTGAGAAGCTCATTCAGCCATTTGGAGGCCAGGATAGCAAAAAGGTGTGTCTTTGTTGGGGTGTACCTGGTTCCACTTCACAGTGTAGGAGCAGCAAGCCGATTTGCAGATGCAGAGCGAAGTGCACATGCTTGAGTGTTTGGTTTGACCATGTCCTGGATGAAGGATGGACCAGATCCCTTTACAGCATGGTAGGCCAGCACCACTGACTTGAAGCGTATTCTGGCATCGACTGGCAGCCGCTGAAGGGAGTGAAGGAGAGGTGTAGTGTGGGAGAACTTGGGGAGGCTGAAGACCAGTCAGGCTGCTGCATTCTGAATTAGCTTTGGAGGTCGGATGGCACTTGCATGTAGAGCAGCCAGGAGGGAGTTGCAGTAGTCAAGGCTTGAGACGACCAGGACCTGGACCAAGACCTGGACCAGGACCTGGACCAGGACCTGGACCAGGACCTAGACCAGGACCTGCGCCGCCTTCTGTGTCAGTAGGGGACAAATCCTCCTGATTGCATAACACTTTATCACAAAAATGGAAATGCCAGAAACAGCTGGGTCCAGCAGCCAGGTGTTCAGTGGTCCACAGATGTGTGTCCAGATGTCTGATAGCATGAATAGGATAGTGATAGTGTTTAACATGTGCGTCAGAGGATTGAGACAGACAGCTGGTGCATCCTCTCATCAGAGGGATTGGAGATGATAATGTCTGCAGCCAGCATCGGTGGAGATGACCTCTCTTTTAAATCCTTTTACATTTACAAGTCGTGAACATATCTGACAAAGCTGAGCTGTGGAAGTGCAGACGTTAAAGGGACAGTTTTGTTGTTTTGATGTGGGGTTGTCTGAGGTACTTCTGCACCGTCATTGTACTGGAGATGCACTAAGTAGAAACACAGGAAAAACAGCACACACACACACTGGAATCTGTTAAATGGAAGATGACACATTTGAAAGTAAAAACAGGTTCCAGGTGACGGACATGTGTATATTCCAAACAAAACAGACATACTATATGAGCGTAAAATGTAAAGGGGCCCTATTCTGCTCATTTGTAGGTTCATATCAGTATTTAGTATCTCTACTGTGACATGTCTCCATGCTTTAATGTTCAAAAAGGAAAAGTTGGAGCGCTAGCCAATAGAAGCGAGTGTTACATTGCGATGTCACTTATTTAATAAAGGAGTCCAATGGAGGTGTTTCAGTCAGGGGGGGAGTGTGTGGGAGAGAAACTCCCTCTGGAGGGAACACAGTGATGTTATCCTTTGCAGACCGTTTACATGCACAGAAACCTAGAACACACTACAGGGAAGGGACAAACCTCAAAAAGCATAATGGGGCCTCTTTAATATATATACTCTTGAGCATCAGATTCAGCCTTTTCTATTTATTCCTTCTCACTTCATCTAGTTGATTTTCTTTCCGCTTTATGATCTATATCCATTATTTGTCTCACAACCCTGATTTGACATAATGTTTGACGTATGTTTCTTTGTGCTGCTTTGTAGCCCAGAGAGGGCAGCCACATCTGGAAGATGCATATGGTGAAGGGGGAGGAGGGCCTCGGCATACAGATCACAGGGGGGCGGGGCTCCAAGCGCTCCCCTCATGGCATCATCATCGCCCGCGTGGAGAAGGCGGGTGCCATTCACAGGTACAGTGAGCATTCATACCGTCACAACAATTCAATTATACTATGTTTTTATTAGGTTTAGCACTATCATATCTATATGCTGATGATGTGATGTTTATTTGTTTGTAGAACTCAAGCTACTACACTTACTTACCCATACAAATCCATGATGGACACTCACTATGTCTACCTTAATGCTAGATGCAGGTTATGTTGTATAAAATAGTGCAAGCTATTGTAACATATTGGACACCTGTGATGAGTGGTGTGATAAAAGTTCTGTTTGAGTTTGAGGTTGTTGTAAATACATATGCACAGTATTATGTAAGTGTGTGTGTCTAACTGTGTGTGTTTCAGGGACGGGCGTCTTCATGCTGGTGATGAGCTGCTGATGATTAACGGTCAGTCTCTGGTGGGGCTCACTCATCAGGAGGCTGTCGGCATCCTCCGCTCCACGTCTGGTCTGGTGCAGCTGGTGGTGGCTAGCAGGGTAACACACACACACACACACACATAAATATACCTTCAGTCCCTGCCAAATGGATATCCATGCAAATGTTGGGGAACATCCCTGGAATCAATACACTGGACAAAGTGGAGACAGAAATTGACTCACTGAAGACAAACACTCCACATCCTTACTCTTAAATGTTACACCAGCTGCACGAGGCTGCTAACTGTATAAGAAGTGTATTTTGTCTCAACGGTGGGAAGACATTTTTGTCACAATTTCAAAAAACATTCTCCCTATTTCATGCAGGAAACCATTAAACACAAATATATAATGACAGACTTGAGAAAGTTTCAGGTAGTTTAGGGTTCCTGTTGTGATAACATGATGCAGCCATAGTATTTTTATACTGTACCAGTTGGAAACGGGCAATACATTGTAGTATATTTGTATCATAATGAATACACATTACTGAAAGCAACATCTTACACACATTTGACTGTTTCTGTCTTTGTGTCCCTGCAGGAGGAGGCAGATGTGGGTTTTGAGCGCTTCCCCTCCACCAGTCTGCCGGACCTGGTCAGCACCTGCAGTTCCCTGTCCTGCCCCCCCCAGACTGCCCCCCCTCTCTCCCCCCAGACCTCCAACTGCAGCACCGACCCCTACCTGGTAGATAATATACTTTGTCTCTGTGTGTGATTGTGAGTGTGTGTGAGGAGTAAGGGAGTCACCAGCTAACATTTACATCAGAGCCACCAACCCTCTTCACGAGGCCTCACCCCGCAGCACGTTTGACTTATCTTTCTGTCTTCACGTTATGCAGATAGTCGGAGACCTTAAAGTAACGCAAGTAACAAGATCATTTTGTGCTTAGTAATGTAATTACTGCTGAACCAACAGTGACGTGTAATATTACTGCGTTACAGACAAATGTAATCTGATTACTGTTACGCGTTAACCCAATGCCCCCCCCCCCCCCCCCCAGCAGAGCCGCACCGCACAGTCGAATATCTGTCACTGCAGTGAGAAGCGTAGACAAAGTTTACGCATTCTAACAATCTAGTGGAGAGCAAATTAGGGAGCACACACACACACACACACACACACACACACACACACACAACACACACACACACACACACAAACACACAACACACACTGGAATCTCTCACTATCCATCACTATTATAAAACACTTTATCACTTTAACACACCACTCAAGGTACGAGTAATGTAAGTTATGATATTACACTCCTATAAATTGTGTGTGTGTGTGTGTGTGTGTGTGTGTGTGTGTGTGTGTGTGTGTGTGTGTGTGTGTGTGTGTGTGTGTGTGTGTGTGTGTGTGTGTGTGTGTGTGTGTGTGTGTGTGTGTGTGTGTGTGTGTGTGTGTGTGTGTGTGTGTGTGTGTGTGTGTGTGTGTGTTAGATTGTTACACCACCACAGTCACCCCATTGTTGAAAATACAGAGGTAGCCGTTGTTGGCCTCTCGCTCAGAGATCCCTCTGGTGGACGAACTGTTTTGTTCTATGATCAATCTGTAATGGCTGTAGTAAGGATTAGACGTTTTTAAAGTGTTCCGCTGTGTTACATCTTATTTGAGTGCTCTAATTGATAAATCTATACTTTGATGTTGATCTCTTCAAACTTGGGTAGTTTAAATGAGTTAACATGATGCATTTGTCATGCACACTAAGGCCATTAACTAAAAGCACATGCATTCTTTTTTAATTTGTATTAACATCATTATAAATAGGATAACATTTATTCCGATATACAGTATATAGACAATATATCATGATAAATGGGAGAAACCAAGCCATTATCTTTAGACTGTCATCAGCCTCATACAGACTGTTTGGTTATGGAATAGGCTCCTCAGATAGAGCAGTCGGCTATCTGGGGTCACGCCTAATATTATGTGTGTACACAATGGAAGTGTTGTGATGTCAAACGAAACAGTTGTATTTATGTAAACAGTTTATCAACGGACAAATATATATATTAGTATTGCTCTGTTGGTTGATTGTGGATGTACAGATATCAGACACTTTATCGTTGTTAAAGAAGAGATGAACTGATACCTGTGAGTGTTCTCTGCTTACAGACTAACATGGAGAAGGTAGAAGGACAAAGTGAGACAGAGGCCCCCAGAGGGTCCTGCTGGAGCCCCACAACCACCAAGATCTGCAGTCGAGCCCAGGGTCAGTACCTCTCAGAAAAAAGATTCACACTAACACCAAAGTGCTTCTGGAATGGAAAGATTGCATCTAAATTGGTACAAATATTCATACATACAGTATACTGTATAGTATGTATGGATGTGTTCGTGTGCAATAAACCTGCAATGTGCAATACAGACACTTTTCTTGCAATACCGTGCAATAATCACCATTGTGTGAAAAACAAACATTGTTTTAAATGTCCCAACATTTTCATAATGTCTCAACACCTAATATGTAACCTCATTTTTAGCCATGGATGTGTACTTTTTTTGTCTTTATTTTATTCAAGTATTACTAATGTGTGCTTTTCTTCTCTATATCAAAGTCAACTTTAATGTCAATCTTTCAATTTGTGTGTACAGACAGAGAGATCGAAAAGACGTTTCCAACAATCCCGAATGCAAAAATAAAATTATACAATATACAGATATGTATAAAAATATGTATAAAATATGTATATCCTACTGTATATACACACAATCAACAGACACATTTACACATATGCACACATTAAGATAAAAAAACACAACAATCGATATATATAAAATAACAGTCACTTCAATATCAATACCTTTGGTGCAAGATTGTCCATAGAATATAATTTAATAAATGTGCTTATTCTTTATCATTGCATGCCTTCTTTTCAACCTGCTATGCCACTTTTTGCTGTCACACTGTAAATGTCACTGCTGTGGGACTAATAAAGGGATTATGTTCCATCGCATACATAACACTGAAATACAGTTAAAACTAAAACACGTAAAAGAACAGTCCACAGGTTAAAAAAAAAATGTATTACATAATTTATTTTCATTTTCATCTCAAGAACATACTTGTCAAATCTAGCCAGAGTCTGTATTGGTATTTTGTACCGTACCATGGCTACTTCTGTGCAGAGGACTGAAATGATTGTGTTTGCGGCTCAGGGGGGGGCACTCGTCTGGAGTCGGTGGGGGAGGATGACGAGCTGCTGGTGGAGAACGGGGTGAGCAGCTGTGAGGTGGTGGAGAAGCCTCCACCTGGACGACGAAAACACTCCTTACCTCAACAACTAGATAGTGCTGGAGTGAGACAGGTCAGTGAACGCACCAGCTCGCTCTTCATACAGCTCAGGGTGCTAATGTGTGTACACGAAGCTTACAATGTGCCCTTAGTTGTATTATTTATCATGACCTGTTTACAACCTCGATCCCTTCCTCAGGAGTCGAATCACGTGCCCCTGCGCGTCGTCTGCGTTCGATTAACCCCTTGACTGCCTCACGGTTCTCTGATGTTTTTAATGCTTCTCCGATCTGTAAATTAGATGTGAACTGTGTTTTTAGTGCTGATGAGCTTATCTCCATGTTTGACTCGACATGTACCCTAATACTGGATTCTGTTGCTCCTTTTACACTTAGACGCACCAAAGTTCTCTCAGAGCCGTGGCTCAATGACTGTACTCGTGCTCTCAGACGCGCTTGCAGGCGTGCAGAGAGAAAATGGAAAAAGGATAAACTCCATGTCTCCCTATAAATCCTTCGTGCTTGCCTTTCTGACTACCAGACGGCAGTCAAAGCAGCCAAAACAGAGCACATTTCTCTGTTCATCTCCAAAAACAGCCATAAACCTCAGGTTCTTTTTAATGTCCTCAACTCGATCATTAATCCCTGTGATGTTTCTTCTATTGTGCCATCAACTACTCTCTGTGATAAGTTTCTTACATTTTTTATTGAAAAAGTATCTGCTCTTAGGCTAGCCCACACTAGTGCTACCCCAGATCCTGCTCCTTTTCTGTGCCCTGCTGTCCTCGACCACTTTGAGCCTGTATCCCTCTCTTCTCTCTCGGATGTAGTCAAGCACCTGCGGCCGACAAACTGCACCTCAGATAGCATTCCCTCTCGCCTTCTCAGAGATGTTTTAGAATCAGTTGGTGCAAGTATTTTATTACTTTTAAACACCTCTCTTAGCTCAGGATGTGTCCCAGCTGCCTTCAAACATGCCGTGGTCAAGCCACTCCTTAAAAAGAAAAATCTCGACCCATCCATTCTCGCAAATGTTAGGCCCATCTCCCAGCTACCTTTTTTATCAAAAGCCCTGGAGCGAGTAGTCTACGCCCAGCTGCAGTCGTTCTTAACCACTCATGGAATCCATGAAAAGTTTCAGTCTGGCTTCAAACCTATGCACAGCACTGAAACAGCCCTTTTAAGAGTTTTTAATGATCTGCTCCTGGCCGCCGACTCAGGTAGCCCAGCTGTCCTGGTGCTGTTAGACCTGACAGCTGCCTTCGACACTGTGGACCATAGCATCCTGTTGTCACGGCTTGAACAGTCCGCTGGCATCACAGGCTCTGCCCTTGCATGGTTCAGGTCCTACCTGACAGACCGTAGCTTCTCAGTACAGCTAGGTGCCTTCTCCTCTGCCAAAGCCCCTCTTACCTGTGGGGTTCCCCAAGGCTCTATTCTGGGCCCCATCCTCTTTTTACTGTACATACTGCCCCTAGGGTCAATTCTCACAAAACACAATATTCCCTTCCACTGCTACGCCGACGATGTACAGATATATCTGCCTCTAAAAGCAAATGTCAAACACTCACTACAGCAGTTGATGGACTGCTTAACAGAGATAAAATCCTGGCTGAGCAAAAACGTTCTCAACCTCAACGAGAGCAAGACCGAGGTCATCTTTTTTGGACCCCAACCTCCAGCCTCTCCGGTTGATATTCTGGGCTCTCTCAATAAAAACATCCTCCGCTCTGTCATGAACCTTGGAGTGACCTTCACTAGCACTTTTAAATTCTACAAGCAGGTCAGCACCGTAGTCAAATCCTGCTTTTTTTAAATACGACTATTGGCCAAAACCAAGTCGTATTTATCTTTTAAAGACTTAGAAAGGGTTATTAACGCCTTTGTAACCTCGAGACTGGATTACTGCAACGCTCTGTATGTGGGTATGGACCAGGCCTCTATTAAACGCCTGCAGCTAGTCCAAAACGCTGCTGCACGTTTGCTGACTGGCCACAAAAAGCGTGACCACATCACCCCAATTCTGGCCTCACTGCACTGGCTTCCAGTTCGGTTCAGAATTGATTTTAAAATCCTTTTATTTGTTTTCAAAGCCCTAAATGGGCTGGCTCCGGCCTATATAGCTGAACTCCTCCAGCGCTACACCCCAGCCAGAGCTTTAAGGTCTGCTGACCAGCTGCTGCTGGTAGTGCCCAAGACCAGGCTCAAAACCAGAGGGCACCGAGCCTTCGCAGCAGCTGGCCCTAGGCTCTGGAACACTCTGCCCCTCCATGTGAGGTCGGCCCAGACCCTAGGGGTTTTTAAATCTACTCTAAAAACACACTTCTTCTCTCTGGCCTTCTAGTTAGAGCGGAGCACGACTCCTGACTTTTCCCTGTGTTTTTTATATATCTGTTGTAATTTATTGTCTTTTATTGTGATTGTAGTAATGTGTTTTTATTACATGTACAGCACTTTGGCTCGACCAAAAATTGCTTTTAAATGTGCTTTATAAATAAAACTTGATTTGATTTGATTTGATGACACAACAAAGAACAAAAGTTAGTTGGGTTTGGATCTTTACAAATTGTTCCAGGAACTGAATAGCTACTAAAACCCAACTCAGGAATAAAGGTCATTTTTGATTTGTTTTTCCCTTACGTCCAAAGAACTGAGAATATAAGGCAGCATGACACAAAGTCATCCAGTATTTTAACAAATGAAAAAAACAGATGGTAATAATAAAATATGACAACGCACAAAAAATATCACCAGCCGGTAAAGAGCAATGCAGGAATGACTCATAAAACCCAGAAATAATTTAGCGTGTACCACTCCCGGATCCTTGTCTCGAAGTGAATGGCTTTTTGAAAATGTATGTGGTAAACCAGAATGAAGGTATGTGATTAACACAAACTGAAGAGATTTTTATGATTTGTTGGACGACATAAAAGCCCGTCAGTAAAACCCCACTTGTGAATCAGGGTTTGCGCTAGGATTTTTTCTTGCCGGTCAAGTGTCCGGAAAGAATTTATTTTACCGAACATGTTTCAACAATAATAATAAGAATTATGTAGCTGGGTCTCCGTTAGCAGGTAATTACCGGACTATGACCGGTAATATATGCCGATGTTTAAAACTCAGTGGGGCTCATTAACTGAGTTTATATTGCTTCAGTTTATAATCGTAACAGATCGAAAAGTTCAGATTCATTTTTCAATAAATGACGCGCTTCCACAAACAACAAACAACATCATTATTACATTCAAACAAACTACTTATAGTAGATGAAGTACATTATTCAAAAGTTTACATTAACTTTGAATATTAACACGGGAGAAATAAACGGAGCCTCTCTTTTCCTCTCTCCCTCTTCTTTATCAGACTCATGCAGCTCGCTAATCCAGTAATGAGTGACCCCCGACAGTGAAGATTAAACATATTTATAACCAGTTTAGCTTGTTCCAGAGGTAGATAAAATAGTTAAGTGTGTAAGGTCTAACTTGAGGTGTGTGTTTTGCTCACCGGTCCGTCACAGCGGGCGGAGCTGCAGGTGATCAGAGCTGCGTGTCTCCGTCAGACTCAGCAGCTGATCTGATCTCTGATCTCTCTCTCGCTTAACGTATACTTCCCTCGCGTTTATGTCCATATCGATCAGATCCTGCTCTCCTGATCAGCCTTTATAAAGAGCAACGATCAAACTATTAAGAGTGAATATCGGCCGATAACGATCGGCGGTCGATCAGCGGTCGATTGATCGGAGCATCCCTAATTATTACCGGACATTTTGACCGGCAGGTTTTGAATTTACCGTTTTTTTATAAATGTTACCAGCTAAAAAACGGTAATTAACAGCTAACGGAAACCCTGTTGTGAATGTAGCTTCTTTTGTGTCAAGTACACTAACAAGAGCCTAAATGAGACTACTACTGACCGTCATCACACCAAACATTAGCCGCCGTTAGCTTAGCGGTGGAGATTATCCTGCTGAACAAAACACAAAAACACACACACACACACACAGATCAAAGCCCTGACTGTCATGACAACATTGACAAGGTGCTCTGCAATAACTGCTGTGTTAATGAGCGGTTTATAAGTAAATGGACATTCAGATCCTACACACTGCACTGAGCTACGTTTGGTCACCGAGACACACACACTACATCCAACCCTTCAGAGACAGCACTGCTGGGGAATAACAGGAAAACACAGACGCTGTACTCAAGTATGAAGGAATAATGCAAATGATGGTATAAACAATCGTTCTGTTTTTACAAGGTGAATGTGTCTGACTCTCTTTGCCTTGTTTATGAATCTCCCTGTCAGGAATATCAGATCATTAAGAAATCAGCCCGCTCGCTGAGCACCATTCAAGTGGAGTCTCCATGGCGACTGGCCCAGCCGTCCATTATCTCCAGCATAGTACTGATGAAAGGCCAGGGCAAGGTGAGTGCACTCCTTTGACATGAATAAAGCACAGAACATTTAAGAAGCATATGTATATGTGAGCGCACAGTGACAAAAGCACAGTGTGTGTGAGGGTCCTGACATTAATACATGTTAAACAAGGTGACACACTCTCTTAACCTTATGTAACAAAGGTGCTGCACCATCAGGATCATACTGTCAGGCCTGTACTCATGCACAGTGAGCATATTATTAAACACCACTGTTGGTAACAGTTGGATGTGTCACACAGGACACAAAACATTAGAATATAAAGGGGTAGAGTATTTAATAAAGGGTATGTGGTTTTGTCAGGACCTCATGTACTCTTTTGAAATTGACATGACAACATCACACCTCAGAAGGTTATCAGTAACCTCTTCACAGTTTAACAGAATCAGAATACTCTGTTCAACCCGGGGGGGTATTGGCTTTTATGACAGCTTTAGAATGAAAACACAAAAGATACAAAAATAAAATAATGAAATGATGTATATAAACATAAGATGCTAAAGTTAGAATGTGCAGGGAACAAAAATGAATAAAATAAAATAAAAAGTAGTACAGAAGTACAATTTCCAATAAAAGATACAATACAATAAATTGATCAAAAAAAGATATGCAAACATAAGAAGTTAAAGTAAAATTCTGCTATATTGATATGACAATGTATACGGTAGTGTATTAGTATCAATAAAATATGAATGCTGAAATGAGATAATTTAAAGCTGATGGTGAAGTAAGAAACAGAAGCACCAGTTTACTTTAACTATTGCTCTGTATCATTTATTTATAAGTGTATGTATGTACAAGTCTTATACAACTTGGATCATACGTGTTACAGTACGTTTGGTACGTTCCAATAAGATGACCAGACCGTGATTAATGTAAGTAATGTATAACATCGATGTTATATTGCAGTAATAATCGGATTTGTGCTGTAGTGGTTTTTATTACATTACATGTCACTTGTTAGACGCTTTTATCCAAATATCTTACATACATTCAATACTGTGGGCAGTCCCCACAGGAACATTTTGGGGTGAAGTGTCTTGTCCAAAGACACAGCGGAATGTTGACTGCAGTGGGGTTTGAACCAGTGCCCCCGTGATCCGAAGATCAGCGCACTAACCACTGAGCCACAACCTCCCTTTATTACATTTGATTACATCCATTACACAGATAATCAAACATGTTCCTGACGTTGCATTGTCTTTCGGAGGAAGGGTCTCATGTAGTGTAGGGAGAGACTGTTAAACTATCAGTTAACCTACCAGTTCTTTTCTGGGTTAATCGCTGGTCTATGTAATAGTGAAAAAAAGAGTTTCCCAAAGTGACACAATGACATCTGTATTGCCTTGTTGAGCCAGTTCAAATCCACAGTTATTCATTTTAATATAAAACAAATCTGTAAAAATCAGCAACTCCATATTTGATAGAGTGATGAGATAAGTTTCTGACCTTTTGGAATAAAAAATAGTTAATTGATTATCAAATTAGAAGCGTATTCTTTTGAATCGGATTGATTGAAATATCATTGCAGCCCTAACTTAAATAATGAAATCAGTTAGAATGTTTGTATCTATTATCCTGTTAAGCCCCAAGCCTGTTTTTCAGGTTTCAGGCTCGAAAATGACATGCCCAGAACAAATGACTATAACTTCACTTCTAAAAGGGTTAAATTAATCATCTTTTTTCTCAAAGCAAGGTTACATCTGTGAGATGGATGTAGAAGTGTCAGAATCAATATAGATGTTTCTGTGTCAGAGTGAATTCAGATGGAACATAGTAAAAAAGTGTAAATTCTTACCTCCGCCTAACAAAAAACCATTACTTATAGTGAAAACCACCCTTGAATGATGGGTTAGTAGCCTAAAAACTTTAGGAATCAAAATTATAACATATAATAAGTACCCTGTATCAAGATTGAGGCAAAACAAGTGAAAATTGACCTTTTTAGAGATATTTAGGGAAAAAAATTCCAGGCGGAATAAGCTTTGGGCACATTTGGGCACATCTGGTTCCATCAGTGCCATTTGACCTTTTTCAGGTACCAGACTGTAAAAATCATTTTATAACATTGAATCATCACTATAGTTATTCATTCCATAAAAAAAAAATAAAAAAAAAAAAAAATAAATTATTGTAAAATTTAACCTGCTAATTATTGTCATGGATTTGACAACTGATGTTGTTTATTTGCTATGTTCTGGCTGCTAGCTCAGTGAGTTCTGGCCGTGCAGTGATGAGACCTATGCCAATGGAATCTGTGGAATCTCAGCTTTCAGATGATGTGTTGTTTGTGCAGAAAGTATAATTATAAATGATAATTTTTGTGAGTTATGAGCAGAAATAGCATTAGTCCGTATTTGCTAAGGGCTCATTGAAAGGCTTCTTGTGGGAATTATTATTATTATTATTTTTTTTTTTTTCGTATAGTCAGTTAGCTGAGTTTCTTCCCGTCAGCTGGGTGTGGAACATTAATAGTTTCATAAATGACACTTCAGAGATCACACTGGTGCTAGCAGATGTAGCATTTTCGGACCCTTCGGAGGGTCCTTGGGGTTTAACAGGTTAAGTAATGATAAATGAATGCAAAATCTCATAGAAAGCAATCAAACCACTGATCAAAGCAATGCCCTCTGTCAACTATACATTCAAAACAATAAGGTTTTAGAAAAGCAGCAGGAAATGTGAGTCTTTAGGGCAGAACATTTTTTATTAATTTTATGCTGGAAACAATACACATAAGAAACATGACATTTCATATCATAACATGACAATATATAAGATCTAAAGTACAAAACAGACATAAAAACCTCTTGACATCCGTTCCTCTACCCCTTCTCTCTTGTGTCACCACCCAAAAATGTAATGCTAAAAATGTTTTTCTCAGAAAACCAAAATGAATGAACATCGCCTCTTGTGTGTCTTTGTGAGTCATTCTTTACTTGAATAACAATGTGATTTCTGCAGGGCCTGGGCTTCAGTATAGTCGGAGGGCAGGACTCAGCACGAGGTCAGATGGGAATATTTGTCAAAACCATCTTTCCTCATGGAGCTGCAGCAGCTGACGGCCGACTGAAAGAGGGTAACCATTCACTTTCATTCTGTGGGAAGGAACTGAGAGAGCTTATAGGAAGTCAAATGCATAGTGGGATCTACATTTACACTTCTCAGAGTAATAGTGTGCCTCCCTGTAGGAGACGAGGTTCTGGAGGTGAATGGAGAGTCTCTGCAAGGACTCACTCACCAGCAGGCCATCCAGACCTTCAAGGTGAGCCACATGAGGACAATACGTTCAGAACTGTTTGATCTCACAGGACAAGCTGAAGGAGCTCAAACTGTGTGCATGGCCGTATCCACCATTGAGGTCACCAAGTAATTTTTTCGAGGTGTATATAATAAAAGTTGTGAAATAACTGCACATAATTAACAGGGTTATCTGTAGTAGTTCCATTTACTAGCGGTGGGGGCGCTGCATAACTATGTAGCCTACATTAAAGCAAACAGAAGAAGACGACATTCATTTATCAACAAACCACCGCAGCCCGGACTTGTATCGGAGCAGCGGAGGAGTGATGAGGTATCTAGAGATCTGAGTCCAGCGGGCTGCTTGTGTTTCTGTTCATCAGGACATCATATGACCAGCAGATCCTGTGTGAACGCTCTACGTTAGTCGGTGGACGTCCGACAACATGCACACTAACTTATATTGCAGCTATAGGCTATACTTTGGTTTACATCCCATGAATAAAATAGCTAGAGAGCTAAAGTTAATTTCATTCATCCAATGTCAGACCTTTTAACAAAAGTTGCAATGCTTTTCTTTCATTATAATTTGAGTAAAAGGTTGAAGAGATAGCATTTATTGTTTTCTTTTTCACTGACACAGATATAATAAAAAATACTATCTGTCCAAGCTCAGCTTTGGTAAGGGAGAGACAGGACAGGGAGAGAGAAAGAGACAAAGTGATGGAAGTCAGAGAGGAACTGCAGGTACAGCCTTCTGTTGCATTTACATTATGTTCATGTGCTGTTCAACACAAACAATGTAGGCTTAATAACCCTATCTCTATCTATCTATCTATCTATCTATCTATCTATCTATCTATCTATCTCTCTATCTATCTATCTATCTATCTCTCTCTCTCTCTCTCTATCTATCTATCTATCTATCTATCTATCTATCTATCTATCTATCTATCTATCTATCTATCTATCTATCTATCTATCTATCTATCTATCTATATCTCTCTCTCTATCTATCTATCTATCTATCTATCTCTCTCTCTCTCTCTCTCTCTCTCTCTATCTATCTATCTATCTATCTATCTATCTATCTATCTATCTATCTATCTATCTATCTATCTCTCTCTCTATCTATCTATCTATCTATCTCTCTATCTATTTATCTATCTATCTATCTGCAAAGTGAAATGAACTAAATGACTGAATTGTTTTTAATACACTGACTGGCAGGAGCGACAAATGAGGAGGAGCATACAGTGAGGAGGAGCATACAGTGAGGAGGAGCATACAGTTAACAATGAGGAATGAGTAGAGAACAGAGAAAGTCATGAACAGAAAGAAGACAGAGAGATGACTTTTCCAAAGAGCATGTTAGTCTCTTCTGCATGTCCAGATTATAATGTGGATCATTATTGGTAACAATCAACTGATTCTCATGCATTACACTTTCAAATATCATGTATGCTGCAGCCCACTGACATGGTTTGAAATCAATCAATTATCCCCCCCCACAGGACTTGAAAACAGATATCTAGATCATGAAAATAACAAATCGGGGGGGCTAGCATGTTTTGGACTTCGGTATTTACGAAATCCTGGATACGGGCCTGACTGTGTGTGTTCATCTTCAGACCAGAGGTGGGAAGTAACTAAGTACATTTACTCTGCATAATATGTACTTTTACTTTGAATTGTGATGCTTATGCATATGTACTTTTACTTGAGTAACATTTTGAAATCAGGACTTTTACTTGTAACAAAGTATTCCTACACTCTGGCACTTCTACTTTTACTCAAGTACAAGACCTGAGTACTTCTCCCACCTCTGCTTCAGACTCAAGAAGAAGGTCATTGACTCATTTATCAGTGTATTTCTTTGCTCACAGTGCCAGCAGGTAAACTAACTCGATCAAAGTTTTTGGTGAAGAGCCTTATTTCAATCCAGAGGTGCCAGAACTTAAAGGTCTCCTATTATACTATTTGTAGGCATATTATAGGTCTATAAATAACATGTCTATGAAGTGTTTTGCTCAAAATACCAAACAGATCATGCATTCTAGCCATGCCTCATAGCCCTCTATTTCAGCCCTGTTACTAAAGTGCTGATTCCGGGTCCTTAGCTTTAAAAAAAAAAAAAAGAAAAAAATAAACCAGAGCCGAGACGAGAGCTCATGCAGAAGAGAAAATTCTACCAAGATACTCAGATTATTTCTGAAACAGTATGGAGCTCAAATGCTTTTTCTCTTGCGGGTTTACCACAAGGTGAGAAACTTTTTATTTCCTGCTTTTTTACACATACTCTCTCCAGTACAGGTTAGCTCTGAGTGTAATGTAAACACCGACCATATTACGTCCAAAACACGTCACACATTGTTTCTGATGCAGCGATGTTTCTGATTGGGCCGTGGGTGTAAAGCCAGCCCACATTTCCGTTATTACGTCATATCGGCAGCAAATCTGGATCAGCTCCGTTGTACCCCCGTTTTTAGAGAGAGGGTTTTATTTTCTGACACTTTGTGAGTTCCCTGACACACCGGGGACACATGTTTATGTATAAAGGACATCACAAAGTGCATTTTGCATGATAGGAGACCTTTAAGTTTGTTGCAAAACCATAATATAGAAATACTTTGTAAAGATAACAAACATACAAGCATCCAAATGTATATACATTTCAAAAAATAAGATGACTCATTCTGCACTAGAGCCCATTTTAGAATAATATGAAGTTATTGAATTATAATTCATGACTAATCATTAATGTGTTCACTTTAATGTTGCAGCTGATAGAGAATGAGATTATTATGTGGCTACACAATCTAACCAAGGGATTCATTAAGTAGGCTTTTTTTAACAATAAAATACATAATACATTATTTGTTGATTCATTGTTACATTATTATTATGAATCTTATGAAGTAGCAGCAACTGGAAATAAGAAGCTGTTTAGTACAAATTCCTCAATCAGTAATTAAAAAAACACTCTTTTAGTAGATTTTTTGGGTTAAAACGTAATTTTTGTATTTGTCCAAAGCTATGTCCAAAGGTAAAGTAAAACATGTTTTTATGTAAACTGAACTTCCTTCATGTTCGTCCACAGCAGCTGAAGAGGGGCGTGGTGACCCTGACCATCCGGACCCGCCTGCGCAGTCCCAGCCTGACGCCGTGCCCCACCCCCACCCTGCTCAGCCGCTCCAGCTCACCCAACTCCACCTCCAACACCAGCGGGGGGGGCACTCCGATCCCCCCGGCGTTTGAAGAGGCTGAGGGCCACAGGGGCCCTGGGCCTGGACCCAAAGACTGTATCATCATGGAGGTCACTCTTAATAAAGGTTGGCTGGCATGACAGAGAACCAGCTGAGAGAAATTCAGACTCAGATATAACCCTTTATTTCACTTTCTGTCTGGAGATTACATTACACTTTATTTTATCCAAAGCAGCTTACAGTAAGTGCTCAACTCTGAAGATACAAACTCAGAATAGTAAGAATTCTGCACGCTAATGAACTTGTTGGTTGTAGACTGTAAGTGCTACATACAGAAATAAGAGGTTTTTATTTTAGCCGAGGTGCAGTGGAAACACATGAGTTTCTGCTGTGCTGACGTCAATGGGGAGCTTATTTCACCGTTGGTATGTGTTCATACCAATAGGGGTATGTGTTCATACCAATGGGGGTATGTGTTCATACCAATGGGGGAATGAACACATACCACATTGTCCTGTGGTATGAACACTTGTCATCTCACCTAGGCGTGAGATGACAAGAGCCTGGACCAGAACCCGCGCTGAGTCGGGCAGCAGAGGTGCAGATGTTTTAGAAAGGTCATGGATAGAAAAGTCCTTCCCTGGAACGAAAGGCACTTCCACAAGGCCCAGAGATTCATGCAGCTAGCTGTGTTTCAGACCGGGGAAAGATAGAACTAGTTGCATATCATCTGTGGTAGGAGAAACCATGAACGAGTGAACTGGTGTACAGAGAAAAAGATGCAAACATCAAATCAATCACAGAAGGAAGATCTCCCACACCAAACTATGACATTATTTTTTACAAGGCTTTGTTATGTTCATAGGCATCATTTATACTTGGGAGGCTGGGGACGTGTCCCCACAACCTTTGCAAATGGCCAATTTTGTCCCAACTACTTTGCACGAGGATGATTTGTTAAAAATGTTCTGAAAATAGCGTGCACAAAGAATTGTACACTTTGAGACTTTTTGTTCATTGGCACAGTGTCCAATCTGGAGGACTGTTCTTACTTTCTGGGTGTATTCATGGTAACCCAAGTGATGCAGTTTGGATCTGCAACACCTTTAATATTAGTAATAATTGAATAGAGAATAGAATAGCAATTGTTGCTCCAACTTTGCAGCAGCGTAGCATAGTTGCTGCACTTGTTGTCAAAAAGTATTGTAAGCATATATGGTGTATGTTGACTGCTTTTCTCTTCTGGATCATGATGTTTCAGAGCCTGCTGTTGGTCTCGGGATTGGAGTTTGCTGTCTGACCCTGGAGAACTCTTCTCCTGGCATCTACATCCACAATCTGGCTCTGGGTTCTGTGGCCAAGATGGACAGCAGGCTCAGGTTAAAACTACTGAGTCATCTTTGAATTGCAAACTGATTTACAGATGCAGCTGAAGTTTATGTGGAATTGCTTTGATGCAAAGATACCAAACATCATACGAGTTACTGATCATGAATGATGTGCGTACAGTATGTGTGCACTGAGGCTGTGGCTGTAAAGGGAAGTGTGTGTGCTCCTCTGTGCAGCCGTGGAGATCAGATCCTGGAGGTGGACTCGGTCAGTCTGCGGCACGCTGCTCTCAGCGAGGCCTACGCCATCCTCAGTGAGTGTGGCCCCGGACCTGTCAGTCTCATCATCAGCAGGCACCCCAACCCCAAGGTGAGAGGACGCATGTCTCTAATTATACAGACACCAGAGGTGGAAAAGTTCTCAGATCTTATACTTACGTCAAGTTAAAAGTACTAGAGTGTAGGAATACTCTGTTACAAGTAAAAGTCCTGCCTTCAAAAGGTTACTCCAGTAAAAGTGCAAAAGTATAAGCATCAAAATATACTAAGTACTTAGTAGTAGTACTTAGTTTATTTAGTATTACCAAAAGTAAAAGTAGTCATGGTGCAGATTGGTCCATCTCAGAATAATATATATGATATGTTTTATAATGATTGATCATGAAAGTGTACAAAAAAACAAACCGGGATGCAGTGCACTTCATTTCCGGCAGTAGGAAAGCCATTTTCAAGTCCTGTGACTGACTTTTAATCGAGGTCAGGTCCGGATTAAGTGGAGCGTGAGAGTGGTTCCTTTTGAAGATAATTGATTGGACAAAATTCTAATTTTGGTCAGACCATTTTATTTCAGTTTCTCCTTGTAAACAATAAAAACAGAGCTCACTTTCACACGCCCACATGTTTCTTACATGCTATATTCGTATACAGTATAGCAAATACGTATAAATGACATACATTGGTATTCATCCTTCCATATGGTGGCATCGTCTCTGTGTTAATTAGTGTCGTACAGTTGTTATAAAGCCTTCTGTTGCCTTTCCTCAGGTATCAGAGCAGGAGATGGATCAGATGATAGCCCGATCCACAAACAGGGACAAAATGAAAAAGAGACCCTCATCTCAGTCTCAAGGTCTGATATCTCTTCACCTGCATTTACGTTTGTCTTTTCTCTTCTTTGATTTACTCGTCGGTGTTACAATACGAGCGAGAGTTCAGCAGCACGCCTCCGATGGGCTCAGGGTTTCTGTTCTAATCTGGGTGTAACGGTCCCTCCTGTTGTCTGCAGGTCCTTCCTGTAAGAGCCCCAGCCCCACGCTGAAGGGGGACGGCTCCCCGGCCCTCAGCTGGACCATGAAGAGGTTCCTGGAGCCTGCCAGCAGAGTACGCTTTTATTCACCCTCCTGTCGTATTCGGGACACATCTGACCCATTTACTACTTTCATCAATCATAAATACTTTTGAATAGATTCAGTTCGTAATTTGGTTATGTTGATCTCCCTTTTCCTTGATATGTCCTTCTCTTGTGCTGACCCTGTGCAGCAGGGCTCTCTCAGCTCAGAGACAGAGTTATCTCAGTACTTCTCCCAGGACGGCTCCAGCCACTCCTTCCTGTCTGAGTCCGTGCTGACGGCCTCCAACAGTGAGGAGGCGCTCCACCAGCCGAGCTGCAGCACCTCCCTGGAGGACAACTCTTCACGGCCTCATGGTACAACAGTCCCCAGTTCATTATAATATCTACTTTTCTCTCATGCAGCAGTCAACTTTGGCATTGTTCCCCCTGATTGAGCAGATATGACAGCTCTTTACAGAGGTTATCACAAGAGAGAGAGAGAGAGAGAGAGAGCGGAGAGAGAGACGAGTACGAGAGACTGACGAGGAGAGAGATGAGATGATGCACGAGAGAGAGAGAGAGAGAGGGATCCGAGAGGAGAGAGACGGAGAGAGAGAGAGAGGGAGAGGAGGAGAAGCGAGAGAGAGGAGAGAGAGAGAGAGGAGAGAGAGATGAAGAAGAGAGGAGAGATGAGAGAGAGAGAGAGAGAGAGAGAGAGACTTATATTCAGAGGAGTACATTTGAATACTCTCCAGTATAGCAATCTACTGAACATATAGACATAGTGTGTCATAGTCTATATTAGAAATGTGTACAGTACATTGAACTGATACTTTGTGAAACCATGTTGTCTGTTTTTATTTGGAAATGAAACGATTGGTTCATTTCTGTTGATATCATTAGCTGCATCTTATTCTAAGCATTCACCCTCTCTCTAACAGAAGTGGAGAGTGTGTACCCCGCCCCCCCAGAGAAGCCCCCTGCTCCTCTGAACCACCATGTGGAGGGTGTGTGTCAGCCCATCTCTGTCTCCAGCCCCTCCTCAGTGCGAAGCCCACTCCTCCGTCAGCGGCGGGTCATGTGCTTTGAGGATGTGCTCAGTGATGAAGAGGACTCCATCACCACGAGGAGCACCGCGCTCCTCCACAGGAAAACTACATCTGTTCCCTTCAGTGAAGCCGAGGCATCTGACATCTCCAAATGCCATTCAGCAGTTTTGATTGCTGCATCATCGTTGGATATAAATGGAAATAGTGAGGATGATGGGGGTCTGCAGAGGTGTGGAAGCCTTGAGGTGACCACTCCTCTCTGTGGCAGTGTCTCACAGTGTGAGGAAGCTCTCACCAATAAGTCGGAGTGTCCTGGTCCCGAGTCACCCCTCATGCTTATCCGCAAAGCAGGGGGGTCAATCTGTACGCTTAGTAATTTGACCATCAGTAGTGAGAACTACACAAACCCAGACGATGTGCAGCTGGAGTCAAAGCGCTCCCCCAAGCTCGAGCATAAAGCCATCACACGAGTCAAGAGTATGATGAGCATCGAAGCACCCAGCCCGCCCCAGCAGCAGAGGTCTAAAGCTGATGAGCCCCCCCCAGGCATAGCACCCGCCCAGTCCCCTTCCTCTGCCCCACTGGGGGTCAGAAACCCCAAGACTGCTGGTGGGCTGGTCCCCCATCAGCACTGTAAGAAGGGAGATGCCGGCGAGCTGGTGGGTGTTTGTACCATCCACACGGTCAGCCTGAGGAGGAGCGAGGACGAGTCCTTCGGTCTGGACCTGGAGATCATGTCCTCCCCTCTGAAGGTTCTTATTGCTGGGCTGAAGCCTGGGGGGGCCGCGGAGAGGGTACGTCTGAGTGGGTTCATCTTCATACAGGTCCAATTCACTGTATATATAGATCAGAGTGGCAAGCTACATTATAATCCCCTCGAAGCACAGGCAGACACAGTGGCTTCCTCTTAACGGGTTTATTCGGCGTGAAAACATACATAAGCACACAGTACAAGCGACAAAACATATGACAATGTTACACATGCAATAGCATACTTTGAAAAGAGGGAAGTATTATTTTGTCCTTATAAACCTTACCAGCATAAACTTCAACATAAGTTTACGGAGCTATAAAGGGTCCGTGCATCTTGTTGTCTTCATGTTTGCTACTCTCACTCATGAGAGAACAGCACAACCAGACATGAGATTGGATTTTAAAATAAAATTGATTACAATGAAATAATAACCATGTAAAGGCTACTCTTACATACATTCAATCTCTTTTCTTTAATCGTACATCCAGGAATCTACAGGCAAGCTGTGTCCTGGAGATGAGATTGTCACATTTGGAGAGAAACTGGTGCGCTCCTCCACTTACGAGGAACTCTGTGAGCTCATGCACAACCTTCCAGTTACCCTGTCTTTGGAAATTAAGAGACCGGTTTCAGGTAAGAACTTGATTCTGATCTTTTTAAGTAGCAGTGTTCCTGATGTGGGGGAAGTCTATCAAAAATAAGAGTTGAATCTGGCTAAAGTATGCAATGCAGCGTCATGTGGTCTGCTAGTGTACTGGTACATTGTCTCATACAGCTTTCCCAATAAACATGATTTTAGATGAATCATTTGAAACGCTCATCACTCGAAAGTGGAAAGTAATCTCAGGGGCCAAGCCTGCCGCCTCAGTGGAGATTGTGTTGTACTCAGGGATAAGTGAGTGTCGCCAATGGATGGATGACATGAATTTTTATATTTTTGGTCTGCTACATCAACACTCTAAATCATTTGACTCAGAAACCACCAGATGCAGACATTTAAATGTAAGACATATTTTGTATATTCAAGGCACCCCCTGGTTTTAAATTGATTTGTCAGAATACAGTTAGTTATTCTCCCACCTCTGATTTTAAATAATTTTCCTCAATCAGTAATGTCCCGTCACCAGCAGATGGTCCCACTGATAATGGGGAAAAGTTTGCAAGCTAGATAGGTAACTAGCTGCTCAGCTGCAGCATGTTAAACAGCATGTACACACACCTGCAGTATCTCCTCTGCTCAGAGGCTGGAGGGCTCCTTACTCTGCAAAAATGCTAACATCACACTTTCCATCCATGGCTTGTATGCTACATTGCAAGCATGTTTGCTCAGCCTGCCAGCTGCTGTCAATCACACCAGGAATCTGCCACGCCCCTCCCCCTGGTGAAAGGAAAAGGAGCATTTCAAGACCTGAAGTTTTAACAATCTGCTGACCATTTTTTGGGAGTGTAAAAAGGGGATGAGCTAAATTGATTTCCCTTTAAATACATATGTGCAGAGAACATCTTATTATTTTCATCAATGTTGTTTTCCCTGCACCTGCACCTGCATGTGATGTGGTGTATATTTGTATGTATTATATTTGTATTACGCTTCGTTTTTGCAAGCTTTTAGCACCAGAATGCTGCTCAGTTTGCTTTGAATAGAGCGCCATTTCTTTCCCTCGAATGCCGACCTAAGATTTAGGATCAACCCTCCCTCACTTACTCCCCCAAAGCAACCTGCCAGCTCCCGGCTTTCTATCAATGGTGACTATCATATACACAATTTTACCTTTAGGTAACAGTACCATATCTACCCTCTAGTTGAACTCCCTGTATGCTATCTATTTGTAGTTTTATAGTAAAGTAGTGTGAATTTTAATTTAGCTTAGAATAGACATTGCTGTGGAGAGTTGTATCACCATGTCATTACTCTTCGGGGTGCAGATTTAGAATCAAATATTTTTGTAAACATTTTCAACATCCATCAACTAATTCCAGAAGTTTGGGATTCTTGTTGAAGGCTTGTATTTCATTTAATAGAAATCAAATATTTGATAAAAGAAATGTATCAATCCTCTGACAAACTTTTTGAGTCTCTATTTTTGCTAAATGTTTTTCCTTTACTCTCCTGCACTGAAATACTGAAAACGTTGACTTTAATTAAATGTATTATGTCATCAGATTTCACATAACTGTATTAGGTTCAACTTAATATTATTGCTTTCAACTAACTTAATACAGTTATGTGAAATCTGTTGAGATAATAGATTGAATTAAAGCCAGCGTCTCAGTTTGTTCAGTGTAAGCATCTTTCAAAACATGATGTGTTATGTAAGAAAAAGCACCAGAAGAACTACATCCACAGCAATGTCTCTAGTATTCTAAATGTTCTGAACTAATTATTGAATACATTTCTCTCTCCTAACCATAGACATTTACTGCACCATGTGATCTTTGCTGACGTAATATAACACCTCTGATGCAACGTAGTATAGTATGTAGTGACTGTGTTCTATACGTCTTAGCTTGAATACATCGCTAGGTAAGAGAAACATGGTGTGCCAAAGATTTCATCCAACTAGAAATGTCCCGACTGTAAGTTGAATTGTGTTTGTTATTGCTCTGGTTTAGAAATATGAATCTGTATAGAGGTCAGGGCCGGTTTTTGGCATAGGCGACATAGGCGGTCGCCTAGGGTGCCAGATCTGGGGGGGCGCTGCGCTGGTAGCTCTGGGAGGGAAAAAAACATTTGTGACCGTTGGTGCTCATCCTAATTTTCGGCCTAGATGTAACAACATTCATAATTAAGTAAAATCTCGCCTAGGGCATCAAATTGTCCAGAACCGGCCCTGATAGAGGTAAACATGTTTGATAAATGATCTCTCTGTTTTCCTCAGTTTATTTGTTTATCAGCAACATATCTCACCAACCTCATGACCCATGCATTTAGTAGATAGATAGATAGATTTAATTGATATTTCATGATATTTATTTATTCATTTGTGATTGACCTAGTCTGATCATTAGTATACTTTTTTTTTTCTTTTTCGTGTGTGTGCGTTTCCAAAAATGCACCATCCATTTACCATTTCAGAAAAACCTTAACATCGAAACCGTTTACTCACTGTCATTAAGTCCTTACTTTACTTCTGGTCCCAGCTGTAGATCGCCTTTCCAGTTTGATGATGTCATCAGGGAGCAGTGATGGAGGCCCGACTCTGTACCCAGCCAGATGTGTTCAGAGAACATCTGACGAAGGACAAGCATTAAGTGAACATTCAGGGAATTCCAACCACACAGCCCAAACTGACCATGACGTTCAAATACCCATCACCAATATCGATGACATTTTATCAGAAGTGAGCCCCCGCAGTGATACACACAACAAATTCCCTGACATAACATCACCTGATGAGCCTGTATCCTGCTGTTCAGGCCCACAGACAGTCACCCTGTCACAGGAAGCCATCATTCAGCTCCCAACACAGTCTAGCCCCCAGGACTGTTGCATCTTAGAAGCAGGAAGTGGACAAGGTGCCATGCCTCCTGTGGAGACAACACATGAGAACCACATATCTCACCTGGAACCACCTGAGGCTGGTTCTAAGTGTATGTACCCCACAGGAGATGACAGTGATTCGTCCACCACTGACGACAGTGTAATGGTCAGTAAGATGGCCGACAGTAGTGGGAGTCTTCTGGAGCCCTCCTCAGATGAGGAAGAAGTGGAGTTGTTTTCATTCAATGCCCAGCAACCTGCTACTGATGGACTCTGTAATGTAAGCCTGTCACCAAAGGGGTTTTCAACTTCTCAGCATGCCAGCTGTCCAAATACAAACCTGGATCAGACCCTTGATGTGCCGCAGGGCTCTGCTGATGTCTCTCTGACAGACAAAGACAACTCAGGCCAGTCCTCACAGCTCTCTCAGCTGTTAGGGGCCTCCTCTACACAGCCACCATGCCAACCATTCAACAGTACTCCTACAGAGTGCCATATCAGAAGTGCCACTGAACCTTGTGACAAAGTTCAAGCAGGTGTGGCATCCAGTCCTGGGACACTCAGCACTTACAGCAGCCCCCCCCCAGCAGATAACCACAGTGTCATTCAGGGAACCGTCGAACACTTGCATCCAGATGCCTTGCTGACCTCGGTTTTATTTAAACATTTAAATACACAAACACCACATTTACCTTCAATTGAATTGGAGACCTCAGGTTTATGCAGATCAAATAAAACTGTGCCAGCATCAATGACAAACAAAGAAAAGCAGTTTGAGTGTAAAACATACCCTCATGCTATGTCTGTACTTAAGAACACCTCTGGGCTTAAAGGCTTTGATAGTTCAGACCCCCCCGTGTGCAGTAGTAACTTTAAAACTCAAATCAGAGCAAGCACTAGTGCTCCCAAATTGAAAGGCCTTAGTATTAAGAGCAAAATCAAACCACAGGAGGAGCCTCTACAAAAAACTACCAAGAGTGAAAGTCCAGCTCCCTTAAAGCACTCATCAAAATTACAACCAGCAACATCCATATCCAGCTCTTTAAAGACATATACCCAGTCTGATATATACAGCTGCCATGATTTCCCCAAAGTGACAGCTGGGTCTTCAGGTAGCTCACTGCACTCTGAAGAGCTGGCTAAAGAGAAGGACATCCATTCAGGCTCCAAAGCACCCATCCAAACACCCCCCCCTGCCACTCAGAGAACGTTTATTGAAGTTCGACTGTCCCCCATATCTGGTTCATCAGCACCAGTTGTAGCAGACCATGAAACAGTGACCCCAGAAGACTCTCAACGCTCTCCAGGACACAGAGATGCCAGATCAGCAGCCATGCTTCCTCCTGCCAACTCCACAGTAGACAAAACAAGCGGCATGGTCAGTGACACAGTGTTGAATTCACTTTGTTCTACTAAAGAAACATGTAATGGATCAAAACCTGTTGCTATAGGGGAGTTGAGTGAGAGCTTAAAGTCATCCAGACTGTCCATAAAGACGCCAGAGAGGCGAAGTCTCTCCACAGAGGCTGCCATGTCTGCAGACTTCAACCCCTTCTCTGTCCGACATAAGATAAAGTCCTTTGAAAACCTGGCTAACTTTGACAGGCCGGCGGCTAAAAGCACTGACATTCAGTCCTACGCTCTGGCATATAGAGCCTCTCTTAACCAAAGGATTGCTGGTTATATGGGCGTGGTTAATTCTATTGACTGCCGGGCTCGGCAAAGGAGTTTAAGTCCTTACGTGGAGAATCTTATTCCTACCACACCCTTCTCACCTTTTCTTGGTAAATCTCCATCTAATATTACATTAATAAATATTGAGCTTCCATATTCGAGCCGTAACACAGCCTCCCTGTCAGAAGACAGCCCTGAGGCTCGAGTTCAAGATAGGGCTGCTCCACACACTCCTCAGGTTCTGCGCAGGAAACACGGCAAGCTGCCCCGCAGCAGGGTGCGGCAGCTCAGGGCTCTCAGTATGCCCGAACTGGAAAAACTGAGCACAGAGGACTTTACCAGAGGCCATGGTGAAGACGGAGATACACTTGAGCCTGGCAGCTATCCCAATATGCCTACGAAAGCAACCGAGAGCTCTCCACCTGCTGCAACCCTGACAGAAGCAGAGGTGACCGGGGGGAGCAGGACTGATCCGGGATCCCATGAAGAGACCCCTGGAGCAGGCACAGAGACACAGCCGCCCAGCTGGTCCATCAGGTGAGGAGGCCATTATATTCATGGACTGTACACAAAGCACATTGTAGCCATTAGTGTACAAATGAATGTTGACTGTGGTGCCCCCAATGCGCGACGTGTTTTGGACGTAATATGGTCTTTGTTTACATTAGCAAGCATCGCTAACACTCAGAGCTAACCTGTACTGGAGAGAGTATGTGTAAAAAAGCAGGAAATAAAAAAAGGAACTCACCTTGTGGTAAACCGGCAAGAGAAAAAGCGTTTGAGCTCCATACTGTTTCAGAAATAATCCTTGAAGTGGTTTGGAACATGATATGGTGTTTAATCACGGCAGCATTTAGCTGTCTATTTGCAGGCAGAGAAGAGACCTCACTGCTTGCCTTGCCGTGCTCAAAAGGGGGCGGGGCCAGCCGCTACTGACCCAGAATCAGCAGTTCTCTAACAGGGCTGAAACAGAGGGATATGAGGGATGTCTAAAATGCATGATGTGTTTGGTATTTTGAGCAAAACACATCATAGACATGTTTTTTATATATTTTTATATATGTGAGACCCATAATGTATGCCTACAAATAGCATAATAGGAGACCTTTAATGCTATGAGAGGAAGAATCTGAGAATGTATTTATTTATTATGTATTATATATTGTGGTTTTGCAATATAATGTCATATCATGAAATGTTTACATTTTAGGAGAAACGTTGTCATCATAAGTCATATTCTATACATTTTGAAAAAAAACCTTCTTTCTCTGTTATAATCCAATCCAACTTTATTTCTATAGCACATTTAAAAAACAACAGAACAAGGTGCTGTACATGAATAAATATATAACAATAGCATAGGTTATATAAAATATAAGGTTACATCCAACATTGTTTTATTTTCTGAGTTTGTTGAGTTATTTTTAATATATGTTATCATAGATCACTTTACTGATATTAATGGAAGAGAATTAGGACCAAGCATAAGGGAAAATGTGTTTTTTTTATAATCTAGCTCTAGCATAAAGTCATTATTTTAGTTCAAATGCCATGCAGGAAGAAATCACAGTCGTCAAATTTGCATTTTAAGAATAAAGAAATGTCGAAAGCAGAAATGTGATTGTTCTACTGCTTATACTCAAGAGGTTTCGGGGCGTCTTGAGGATGGAGACAAAGAAAAACCTTTTATTTTCATGACTTCTACTCAAATCAAATCAAAGTTTGTTTATTTAGCACAATGTCACAAAACACGTTCGTCTCAGTGGGCTTTACAGATTAGCAAACATGACAGTGTCAAATATGTATTTGTTCTGTTTTATTAAACAGGGAAGTCTTCAACACATTCTAAACATTTTGGACACTTTCTGCCTCCCTAATAAAAACAGGAAGTTGGTTCCAGCGAGAGGGAGCTGAACGCTCTGTCTCCTGATCTAGTTTTGCGGACTCTGGGAACTACTCAATCTTCTAAAATCATGTTTGAAGTCAGAGGCAAGTTGTTTAAATATGAATATGGTTTGGTGTGCAGTTTAAAGGAGCTGTCCTCGTCTCCTGAGCGTCGGTGTAAGCTGCAGAGCCTGCTGCCCCCCCCCCCGCTCAGATCATACGTGTCGGCCCTGCTGCAGGAGGCTGAGGGGCTCCCCCAGGTAACACTACTGCAAACACACATCTGTTTAGCATTCAAAATGTTAATCAAGTAAAAGTACAAGAGCATTAGCATCTCAGAACACTTAGAGTAACAAAAGTAAAAGTAGTCCATGTGCAAATGTTTCAGAATAATATATATGATATGTTTTATAATGATTGATCATGAAAGTGTTCTCAAAGCTGGTAAAGGTGCAGCTAGTTTGAATGACTTTGTATACTGCAGGGTAGCTTGTGAATTTACTCCAGGTGGAACTAAAGTCTGATTTAACACTTGATTATATTTCACATCATTCATCCAGATCTGTAAAGTAACTAAAGGGATTAAATTCATGTAGTGGAGTAAAAGTACACCATTTACCTTTGACTTATAGTGGGGTAGAAGTACAAAGTAGCAAAAAACTGAAATACTCAAGTAAAGTACACGTACCTCAAAATTGTATGTAAGTACAGTACTTAGTTTCTTTACACCACTGTCTGTTTCACATGCAGTAACATCTTACAGGTTCCACATAGTTTAGTCCTGCTCACCGTGTGATTGGCTCTGCAGGTCCATGATAACACTCACCTGGTGGTCCTGAGTAAGGAGGAGGGCTCGGGGCTGGGTTTCAGTATCGCTGGTGGAGTGGACCTGGAGCAGAAGGCCATTACAGTGAGTACAGTGATGAGGAACGCACTGTTCAATATCTATCTGCATATTACCAGAGATGGAAGAAGTACTCAGATCATTTATTTGTATAATGAGTACTCATTCTGCAGAATGGGCCATTGGAGCACCATATATATTCAGTTATTGTATTATAATTATTGCTTTTAACCTGTTAAGCCCTAGAGCCCCCTGTACAGGGGGCAGTAGGGTGTTTTTTCACGAAACTGTGTCTCAGGGCTTCTTATTATTTAAAAACCTATTAATGTGTCATACCCATTTAACGGGAAGAAACTCAGCTAACTGACAATACGAACCATTTTTACCGAAACAAAACACAAGTCTCACAAGAAGCGTCTAAATGAGCCCTGAGCGAAAAAATGCTAACACACTTACCACAGAATTCAAGGTAAAAATACCCTAATTACTTATCGTAACTGCAAAAACAAGATACCAAATTAAAGCTGATATTCCACAGATTCTATAGGTATAAGTATAATCACTGAGCGATCAGAACTCGTGACAGGGGAAGCAAACACAGACGTCACAACACGTGAATTACGGAACATTCACGGGAAATCGTCTCAAATTAGCTGTTATTCTGATCAATAGTCGTGTTCAATGGCATTAAAATGATAAAAACGCCGCTGAAGGTTAATCCATAGGTTAATCCAATGTGTCTGTGTCACTTTGAAAGGATTACTGATAATCCATCATTGCATTTTTATGTAAAAAACGGAGATTTCATATTATTTTTATTTTTATAAATCTCTCTAAAGAGGTCAAATGTCACTTGTTTTGCATCAATCTTGATACAGGGTACTTATTATATGTTGTAGTTTGGATTCCTAAAGCTTTTAGTCTACCATCCCATCATTCAAGGGTGGTTTTCACTATAAGTAATGGGTTTTTTTTTAGGCGGAGGTAAGAATTTACCTTTTTTTACAATGTTCCATCTGAATTTACTCTGACACAGAAACATCTATATTGATTCTGACACTTCTACATCCAACTCACAGATGTAACCTTGCTTTGAGAAGAAAGATTATTAATTTAACCCTTTTAGAAGTGAAGTTATAGTCATTTGTTCTGGGCATGTCATTTTCGAGCCTGAAACCTGAAAAACAGGCTCAGGGCACTTCAATGTTGCACTACTTTAGCTATGATCATATATAATATTGTATTAGTTGACTTTTATTTTGTGTTAATGATCTTATTCTACAAAGTAGTTAGTAGGAGTTAAAGCAGCAACACAGTGAGAATGAGAAACAGACCAGTGCTGACATGTGTGAGTGCAGGTCCAAGTCATTGCTACTAACAGTGCAGATTTGATGTACAGAACTAATGCACAAGCTGTATTTGCACTTTAGTTGTTTTTCTTTCTGTCAGCTATGCTCCGGTCTCTCTTTTATGAAATGTGTTTGTTTAGATCCTCTTAGGTACTGGAAAAATGACAGTAGCAGCTCTTCAGAAAACAGAAGTCATGTATTCCCCCCACAGCGGGGGGGTTGATTACAGCAAAGGGGACAGTGCAGATTGAGACAAAAACTAATATTTAAAGGTAATGAAGTAGCAGCCAGTAATAACAGTAGTGAAACGTATATATTGCTCGGTCCTATTTTACAACAGTGTGGTTAAGGTTTTAATTAGTGCAAAAAGGTAGCAGCCAGTAATAACAATATTACATTATAAAATAGTATATATCCTCCTGGGACCTGAGTAAAAAAAGTGTCGTCCAATTTCCTTTTTTGATAATTTTCTTCCTATCTAGGGATTAAGAAAACCATCTGAAGCTCTTTTCTGACATGAAATAAGTAACATTGATCAAGCTGAATACCTTCAATAAATCAGTTGAAGGTATTTTTCACCACCACCATTATTTGTTCTGGGGAAGTTTTCTCTGAGAGGGAACTCTGCTGCCTGTTTTAAACATGCTGAAGAATGTCTGGACAGGATGTTAAGTTGTGACTGTGTATTTGCTCTCATGCTGTTGTAAAGACTGTTGCTGGATATTCATTCATCACAGTTGGCATGAATGAACACTGAAGATAAAGAGAGGATGTGCAGATCTGGTTATTGCTGTTGTTGTACAATGTTGTTTTCTTTTGGAGTTTCATGGTTTCTTTTTTGCATAAGAGATAATGATTGGGGTGCTACATTAAAAACAACGTCTCTTCTGTGCGTGTTGAACTTCATTCAGATAAGTGTTTCGTCCTGACTTGTGTGCAAAAGGTACCGCGGGACTTATTCAGGCATGAGGCTGTTGAATGGTTGATCAGATTAACAAAAAGGGCTCAGGCGTTAAATAATTAGGAAGTGTAAACAAGGTGAATTGTGGGATGGAGCTGGGATTATATAACACTTACCTTTGTGTGCAGGTTCATCGGGTCTTCACTAAAGGCACAGCGAGCCTCGAAGGCACCATCCAGAGAGGGGACAGCATTTTATCCATTAATGGCATTAGTCTGGGGGGTAAGACCCACGGAGAGACTGTGTCCTGCCTTCATCAAGCCAGACTGTCCATGCAAGCCTTAGTGGTCATTTGGAGAGATGAGGACGGTGAGCTGAGCTCTGACACCCCGGAGCAGTCCACCAGAAACGGGAGCGGGGGGGCCGGAGCAGGTAGGGCTTCATCCAATGGTTACCCTGAAAAAACTGAAATGTGACTTTAATTCAAATGAACAGAGTCCACATAACTGTATTAGGTTAGTTGAAAGCAATAATATTAAGTTTAAATAAGAAATATTAGGTTCAACTCAATATTATTGCTAAGTCAGTGTGTACCATTAGAGGCTTGGTGGTTTGATTCCTGCAGTCAACATATCATGGCCAACAAGGGCGGGATCTCATTATTTCAATAGAATTTACAGTAGTCAGGGTTACTTTCAAAATGTAATCCGTTAAAATAACTGGTTACATGTCAAAAAATGTAGTGGGTAACCTAATCTGAGTATCACAATATAAAAGTAATATAACCTGATTACTTTCTGTTACTTTTGGATTAGCTCAAAATCTAGTGCAATGCAATAAATAACAAAAAAAGAGAAAATAAATAACAATAAGATGTTTTTGTATGTAACAATGTAACCCTAGAAAAGAAGAAACCAAAATATTTCATATCAAAACTGTAGTAACAGTAATAGTATACAAATGCTGTTAGCTTAATACATTCATCAGATGTATAAATGTACTTTAAAATAAAGAAGAATTAAAGGGGACCTATCATGCAAAATGCACTTTTGTACGTCTTGTCTACATGAATATGTGTCCCCGGTGTTCCAGGGAACTCACTAAGTGTCAGAAAACACAACCCTCTCTATTTTCCTCCATACCCAAATCTCTAAAAAAGGGGCTGCAACGGATCTGATAAAAACTGATCCAGATTTGAACACTGTCCTGACGTCAGGACGGTGGCGCTACAGCTATTGGGCCAACTCCACCAATCAGGAGGAGACAGCCACGGCCATTGCCGTTCGAAAGCGCTGGAGACGCTGTAGTACATATGCCAGGCCTGTAGATGGTGCTGTTCTCACAGAATCAGCCCTTGCTAAAACAGATCTAAAAAATGTCAAATTAAGCAAAATGAGGCATGGCTAAAATGCATGATCTGTTTGGTATTTTGAAAAAAAAAAAGTATAAATATGCCTTATATAGGTATGGTCCTACACTATATTATTCAAATATAGCATGATAGGTCCACTTTAAAGTAACCTAAATATAAGCCATAAAGAAAATTCATTCAGTATGTCTGTATCAAATACAGATACCTTTTCTTTGTATCCTGATTACATAATCTCTTTACATGTAATCTGTTACTCCCCAAGCCTGGCTATAATAAGGGAAAGTATTTGATACCCCTCAACAACAAGGCGTCTGCCACTGTTTCCATGTCAGCTGTCATCAAGTGGAAAGCAAGGAACTTCTAATCAACTGTTTGTCTTTTGTAATGTGCTTGTTGAACACTCCTCAGTGGTGGATGTGGGTCCAGGCGGGGCTTTAACGGTGGAGCTTCACAAGACCTCCGCTGGCCTGGGCTTCAGTCTGGAGGGGGGGAAGTCCTCCAGTCAGGGAGACAGGCCTCTGCTGGTCAAACGCGTCTTTAAAGGTGACCTTTTTTACTACAAGTCTCCACATCTCAGACACAGTAATGGATCAAAAGCTTTAACTTAGAGATATCACCATGAAACCTCCCCACCATGAGGGCTCAGAGGCCTTTTCTTATTGGATCTAAGCTAATCTGTATACATTTTCAGTTCATACATTTGCATAAAGTCAGGGTCAAAATGTGTGTTTTTTTGCTGACATACTGTATAGGACTCAAGGGCTGTTAGTGGGGGGATTCAGATGTCTCTTTGTATCAGCACATACATCATATGTTGTAAGTAACGAGCTTCAGAATAAAGAAAGGGATTAAACAGGACAGCTTGCTGTGTAAGTGCTATAGGCATTTCTGCTGAGAGAGTCGTCAACACTATTTTGGAGAAAATGCCTTTAAAGATATGGATTGTGAAAATGTTGTACAGACTACAGGTGAATAGGGTAAAAGTTGTAACTAATATATATCACCAGGAAACTTCCTCAGTTCATTACTGACATTAAAACTATAATTGTTATTAGAAGTGTTCTGAAATGTTTAAATATGGAAATAAGGCATTCACTTTTAGTGAATTGTGGACAAATTGACACAAAATTAGTTAAATACAACCCTTAATGTGTATTTTTGAAGTTTTCTTAGTACTAGTCTGAAAGAAGACATGTTATGGAACCATAATAGCCCCAACGCTCCAAACTAAGCAGTGCATGAAAAAACATGTTTTGGCCTGAAGTGTTTCACCTTGAAGCTAATCATTCATCTTGAAACTATTGAAGTGTTTAGAGCTGTGTGTTCCTGTTCACAGTGGACTGTAGCATGCCTGTAGTCCTATTAATGAAAACATGATCTGTGAATATATTATATAACAGGGTCATGGTGTGGTACTGGTAAAATGATTTGTTAATTATTTTAGGGGATTCATTACCACCCAGACTCTCAGCTGTACACAACTAACATAAATATAAAAACTTTGAGACGAGGGAACCGGAATATAACATGCTAATTTATTTCTTTAGCGAGCTGACTCAGACGCTCTATCTTTACCTTGATTTGCTGTCCTCTCCACCAGGAGGCGCTGCAGAGCTGTCCGGAGTGATCCAGGTCGGAGATGAAGTGGTGTCCATCAACGGCTGCTCTCTGGAGGGCCTTATGCACCACGATGCCTGGAGAATCATCAAAGCCACTGAAGAGGGGCCCAACCTCCTCCTCTTCCGCAGGCCCAGCACCAGACCATAATGAACGGGGAAAAGAAAGCACTGTGAAGCAGCCCTCTGAAACACAAGCAGGACATGTGAGACATGTCCTGATGGACTTCATTGACATTTTGTGTTCTGTCTTGTTATTTGTGTTTGTGCTTAGAAGTAGGTCAAATTGCTGAATTATGAATTTTTCAGATGAAGTGCAGGTTGTTTACAATAGATTTACTTTGAAGCACTAAAGAAAACTGTTTTTAAATAAAGTCTGTTTGTGAAAACATCTGTGGCTGGTTGTGTTCAAACCATTCATGCTAAAATGTGAGATAACTATTACTAATAACAAGTGAGAAGGGCAGTAGATCAGCAAATTATTAGGTTGACCTTCAAAACTCTCAGATTCAGAAATGTAACTTATTACAATTCCTTAGCAGCATTTCAAACCTTTCACTCTGTTGTCCACTTAAAAACGATAATTTAAAGGCTTTAAAGTTGAGCATTTTTCGTCAAACTAGTTCTAAGACATCTTGGTTTAAGTATCCAATCTTTTATTTTCAGTTTTGTCATATATGTCAGTTTTATATACTGTCCTGTATTTGGACCAGTGAGACCACCACAGCTTCACCGAAAGTTCCTTTTTGATTCAATATTTAAGAAAGTTATGAAGCAGTCATTCTATGCAGAGTCATTTGTTGGTATAATTAAATTCACACCCTGGGCCAAGACGCTGGATACCACATGTGTTTGCTGATTACTGGGAACTCTTTAACCTAAAAGTACATTTCAGTTCTCCTGAATTTGGCCAATGCTGGTTGGCTACTTCACGCCTGTGTGCACACTGTCTACCATCAGACTTAAACCCAGGAATCGACTGGATCCAGATCCAAATGTAACAATTAAGGGCCTTGTCCTTTGATTTAATGCATTTATAACATGACCATTTCCCTAAATATCCTACTGTTATTCAAGTTTAACATTTCGTTTTTTCTGTTTCTTGATTAAAGATGTTGTTGCTCAAAATATAACTATACATAATTATATTCAATTGAAATGGAAATAACTCATGGTATTTAAATTAATGAATTAATGTATTTATAATACCTTAATGATTTTCGGACATCATCAGACACCAATGTAAATAAAGGTAGTGGCTCATGTTTCACTCTCCAAACACTGTGATACACACGATCCAGCCTTTTGAACTTACAGTTTAGTTATAACGGATGTGTTAGGTTACAGGTTGGGTTCATGCCTGTCAGCTGATGTTATGTGGTTTGTTTCCAATATCAGGGTATCTGGCAGTGTGCAAACCCTTATTTTATCAACCTGATTCTAAACCTTCCTTGAATTCAATATCATATATTATACAAATCCCACCAAGCATATGTTAAAAATGGTTCCAATGACTGTGTCCAAATGACCACCAGGTGTCGGTAAACGCACACCGACTTTCAGTGTTTCTGTTCCTGCTATGGTACTGTGACTTCCTATGTGAATCGTACCGTTTTTGCAAGTGATAACATGCTCAAAAAAAAACTGCGCAGGAAAATAAGTAAATCTACATCAAAAGCTGGACAACAGATAAAACAGCAAACAGGAAGTGAACACCAAAAAGGACAGGATATGGGCTTAGGTGAAAAATGGAGGTACTTGTACTTTACTTGAGTATTTTCACATCATGCTTCTTTATACTTTTACTCCACCACATTTTGTCGGCAAATGTTGTACTTTTTACTCATTTATTTGACAGATTTAGTTACCAGTTACTTTGCAGGTTTAGATTATAACACAAAATATGAATTTACTTACACACTATTATATTTCATTATAGGTTAAACTAGCCGGTGTGTGTATAAGATAATTCAAATGCACCCCACTCTTACCAAGTGCACATTGAAGTTATGAACACATTCATACATGAATAATTATTATATCACGATAATATAAACTATATGGTGCTTATTTGTGCCATTCCGCATGATGAGAACTTTTACTTTTGGTACTAAAAGTATATTTCGATTCTTATATTTTTGTACTTTTACTTAAGTACAATTTTGAATGCAGGACTGTTACTTGTGAGTATTTTTACGCTGTAGCATTGCTACTTTTACCTAAAATAAATCATCTCAGTGTATCTTCCACATTATCCCTACTGGTACCAGGCTTTCCATCAGATATTACAACCTGGCTACAAGGATTATCTTCCATTCAGACACAGGAGCATTGGTGTGGAATAATTGAGGACCCTCACTGATGTCAGGGATCAGGTCAGCTGTAGCTGTTCACCCCGTATGTGTGGGGTGGGATTGAGGATTAGGAATCTGCACAGACCGGTCAAGGTCTTTGACAGCAAACTGTGAAAAGAATGTCTTTAAGGGCCTGTCAATTTACTAATGGCCATCTGTGTACAGTGCAAACTAAATATGGTGTAGTCATTATACCCTCAAATAAAAGGAAACAGTGTTTGGGTCCAGGAAAACAAGACACTTTGCACAGAGGATTAATAAACACACAAACAGAGCCTGCAGGTATTGTGCAGCAGAACGATGTCTGAGACCCTGGAAAATTCTCCAGCAATGACCCGCCTGAGTTCCCTCAGACAGAGCTGAAAGATGTCATTACATGACAAGGTGTTGAGTTCAGTTAATGACCATAATTGCGGAATATCTCCAAGTTGTGCTCATTGGTGTAAAATAGACATTTTAGATAAAGATAGCCCATAATTCACATGGAGTATAATGCATTAACTTTTCATTTAATGATTTAATGATTTTAAGTGTAATGAGAGCTGTGGAAAACATTAGCATGTACGTCAGCAAATTCCACTCCACTTGCCAGCAAACAGAATGTGTCTTCTGAGAGGCTCGGTGAGTCATTAGTGACAAATGCTAATGAGCCAAGATAAGTGCAGAGGACATGTTCTCATGTAGGACTGCTCAGGAGGCAGAGAGGCAACGTCTGCCATAAAGAATACTGCTGGTGCAAGACCTTCATAGAGACCATTAGTCAGTGGTGTAAAGTAACTAAGTACATGTACTCTACTACTGTGCTTAAGTACAATTTTTGAGGGACTTGTACTTTACTTGGGTATCTAAATGTTTTGCTACTTCTACTCCTCTACAACTCAGAGGTAAATGGTGTACTTTTACTCCACAACCTTTATTTAATACCTTTAGTTACTTCACAGATCTGGATGAATGATGTGAAATATGATCAAGTGTTAAATCAGACTTTAGTTCCACCTGGAGTAAATTCACAAGCTACCCTGCAGTATACAAAGTCATTCAAACTACAGTAGCTGCACCTTTACCAGCTTTGAGAACACTTTAATGATCAATCATTATAAAATATATCATATATATTATTCTGAAATGGACCAATCTGCACAATGACTACTTTTACTTTTGATACTCTTTAACAGCCAGTGCCACCATTTGGTAGAGCACATTTTGTGTCTTGATATCTTGTTGAAAAAAGAAAAAAAAAAAAAAGTCAAAAAAGTTTAACTCCATCTGCCGTAACCTTCGTCCCCTCTCCCCCTCTACCTTTACCTCATCGGTGCTCTCAGCCCTCCCTTCCTCTGACTCGTTCCAACTCCTGCCTCCAAACTCTGCTGCAGAAACTCTCCTCTCGACTCTTTCATCCTCTCTGGACTCTCTCTGTCCTCTCACATCTCGGCAGCCTCGTCAGTCCCCTCCTGCTCCCTGGCTAAATGACGCACTGCGTGCTAATAGAACCATCCTTCGGGCAGCTGAGCGGAAACGGTGGAAATCCAAACACCCTGACGACCTCCTAACCTATCAGGCTCTCCTCTCCTCTTTCTCTTCTTCGATCTCTCAGGCAAAAAGCACTTTCTTTCAAGATAAGATCCATTCTTCATATTCCAATCCCCAAAAACTATTTTCTATCTTCTCCACCTTCCTGGACCCCCCCAGAGCCCCTTCCCCCTCCTCCCTTCTTCCAAGCGACTTTGTTAACTACTTTGAAAAAAAGGTTGATGATATTCGCTCTTCTTTTTCCGACTCACCTTTACTCACCGCTGGGTCACCAGACCCACCTTTACTCACCGCTGGGTCACCAGACCCACCCTTCACCCACACACTAACCTCTTTTTCCCCTCTCTCTCCAAGTGAGGTTCTTACCCTCATTACCTCTGCCCGTCCTACCACCTGTCCTCTGGACCCTATCCCCTCAAACCTCCTTCAGACTATCGCTCCTGATATTCTACCGTTTCTCACCCATTTCATCAACACTTCTCTAACTTCTGGTCACTTTCCAAACAGTCTCAAGGAGGCAAGAGTAAACCCTCTCCTAAAGAAACCCACTCTCAACCCGTCCGATGTTATAAACTACAGGCCTGTCTCTCTCCTCCCGTTCCTGTCTAAAACACTTAAACGCGCTGTCTTTAAACAACTCTCCTGTTATCTCCATCAGAACAACCTTCTTGATCCGCACCAGTCTGGTTTCAAGGCAGGTCACTCAACAGAAACTGCTCTCCTCGCTGTCTCTGAGGAACTGCACACGGCTAAAGCAGCCTCCCTCTCCTCTGTCATCATCCTGTTGGACCTGTCTGCTGCATTTGACACGGTGAACCATCAGATCCTCCTTCACACTCTCCAAGAACTTGGAGTTTCAGGCTCTGCACTTTCCCTCCTCACCTCATACCTCAAAGACCGCATCTACAGGGTAACTTGGAGAGGGTCCGAGTCCGCCCCTTGTCAATTAACTACAGGGGTCCCTCAGGGCTCTGTCCTTGGTCCCCTCCTCTTCTCTCTGTACACAAACTCGCTCGGATCGGTCATTAGCCCGCATGGTTTTTCATACCATTGCTACGCTGACGACACCCAATTAATTCTGTCTTTTCCCCGCCCAGAGACCCAGGTCGTCGCACGCATCTCTGCTTGTCTAGCAGACATCTCTCAGTGGATATCTGCTCACCACTTCAAGCTCAACCTTGACAAGACTTAACTGCTTTTTCTTCCGGGAAAAAAGTGTCCCACTCTTGACCTAACAATCAACATCGGCCCCTTTGTTGTTTCCCCGACTCAGACTGCAAGGAATCTGGGTGTGACCCTAGATAACAAACTGTCCTTCACTGCAAACATCGCTGCTACAACCCGCTGCTGCAGATACACTCTTTACAACATCAGGAGGATACGTCCCCTCCTGACCCAGAAAGCGATGCAACTTCTGGTCCAGGCTCTCGTCATCTCACGCCTAGACTACTGCAACTCCCTCCTGGCTGGTCTACCTGCATGTGCCATCCGACCTCTGCAGCTCATC